GGCCTTTCCGAATTCCAGTTTCTTTGTTTCCAAACCGCACGTCCGAAACTTCGGGGCTTCGAAAACACTCCTCCTTCCTCGCATGTCAGTAAACACAGCCAGCCTCAACTACCGCGACTGGCGACATAACTGGCCAGCAGGCGGTGGCTGTCTGCAGGATCGGTGGAGGGTATGCTGAAATGTCAATTGGGACCGATGGATCATGCGGACCGCCCATTATCGTTTTGGGGATCTTCAAATTACCATGACGATCGACGACGTAACGCAAAGCAACCGTAATTTTTGTTCTAGCGAGTGAGGTGCCCAAGTCGTCCACCAATTTATTTATTTGGAAGGACGTGGCAGTCATCGAAAGCTCAGGGAGATTGAATGCAGGAACCGAGGGCTCGAGGGCATAGCGTCTTTTTGTGTGCGCGTGTTTGTCGCGCACTTTTTACGCGCGCCGACGATTTGTAGAAGCAGCAAGAGAGCAACGAAAACCTATTTAGGTTCGCGTGTTGGTCTCTCTCGTCCTGAAATATATTGATGAATAAATAAAGAAGCAGGGTAATACTTGTGGCTGTGGGCAACTGTGGGCAAGTCTGATAGTTTCTGATGATAGGGAAAGTTCCTTGTCGTCAACGTGCGCGCATGCAGATGCGCAGTCACAAAGTCAGACACCCGGGATGCCGGTGCCGGGGAAGGGGAAGGGCACCGACAATACCGATACCGCACACGTGTGCGCACAAATTTTCGGAAACAAAAACAAAGGTACGGACGGGCAACCCTGCGACGAAACTAATATTTAGCAGGCGCCGAAAATGAATAGTGAAGTGGCAGATCAGCTTATGGAAATGCGCCAGCAGTTGGATGAGCAGAGGGTCGGCTTCGAGTCGAAACTGGAGGAGCAGAGGGCGGAAATGGAGAAGCAGAGGGCGGAAATGGAGAAGCAGAGGGCGGAAATGGAAGCGGATAGGCAAGACGCCGTTTATCCGGTGCGGTTTCGCGGCTTCATCGAGGCGGCCGCGAAGTTTGTGGCTCTGAAGAGGGCTAAGGAAATGGCTCCGGCGCCCACTGGTCAGCTCCTCAGGATCGGTTCGCTGGAGGAGCCGGACTTGCTGGATGGCGAAGGGATACAGGCGGGACGCACGGTCAAGGGCTACCCTTCCCACTCTCGCTTGGATGCCCCGCTGGCAACCGTCTACTCCTGCCTGGAGAAGCACTGGAACCGCACGTCTGGCCAAGTGCATCAGTTGAGAGACGTTTGCTTGACCGAACCTGCAGTGGCTTACTGCATCCAGGAGGAGACGGAGGTAATGCGGGAAAGTATCATGGGGCT